TTTTTTTTTTTTTTTTTTTTTGAGACAGAGCCTCAAGCTATCCCCCTGGGTAGAGTGCTATGGCATCACAGCTCACAGCAACCTCCAACTCCCGGGCTCAAGAGAGTCTCCTGCCTCAGCCTCCCAAGTAGCTGGACCACAGGTGCCCGCCACAACACCCAGCTATCTTGTGGTTGCAGCTGTCATTGTTTTGGCGGGCCCGGGCTGGATTCGAACCCACCACCTTAGTTGTATGTGGCTGGTGCTTTAGCCACTTGAGCCACGGGCACTGAGCCCAGGAAAATTGTTAATATACAGTTAAGTGGGAGGAAATGGGTTTTAAACTATGGCTCTTTTGACTCCAATTTTATACAACAATTTATCTAATAAATGTGTGTCTACATATGCATATGTGAGTGTGAATGTCTGCATAAACACACACCAAAGTCAACTATAGCTGTACTTTTTTTCTCTCTTTGCACTTCCTAAATTTTCTAAAATAAACAAGGAAAATAAAGGTGAGTAGCCCAAAACGCTATTGAAGACTTAATAAACATACAATTTAGCACAAAACTATAAATGTATACATATGTATGTGTATAGGTTTGTATATGTATAAAACTTTTGTAATACAAAAGGAAAAATTTAAAAATCCTGGAAACAAATACAGAAGCAAATAACTGCAACAGAAACTGATAAAATTCATAGCTGAGTGAAATTTCAACAAGTCTGAACTGAATCAAAGTTCCTTCTGACCAAGTGGGTGGGAGTAGGATCTCAGGGGACCAACCTCACTTCTTCCAGCTACTGAGTGGGGACACTGTGGATGAGGGCCCATATCTGGAGGCTGCAGGGAGAAGGAGGGAAGAGAGGCCTCACCTCCAGGCAGGCCAGGTGCACGTCTTTGATGATGCAGCCGGAGCTGGTCAGGACTTGCTGCTTCAGGAGCAAGCAGCTGAGCTCCAGGGTCGCCAGCCGGATCTTTCCATCTGCCGAGCACACCAAGGTGAGCCTCGCACAGCCAGGGCAGACTGCCACTGAGTCTTACCTACTTTGAAGCTAACAGGTCAGCTGACTGGCTGACTGCTCAAGGTCCACAACATCTAATGGGGACACTGAGGGAGACCCTACATGCCAATCTCCTTCTCAATAAGTTACAATTCAATGTCCCCCCTCAAAACTACCTAAACCAAAGACATCCTGAAGTCCCTTTAATGGGGTGGGGGATGACTAAGCATTACTGAAGGCTTAGGAAGTGGCCCTCTGTGGCTGTTTGGCTTGTTCAGCGTTCTTTTCCCTTTCTCAAAGGGAAAGCATGAGCACCTATGCTTTCCTTTGGAGAAACACCAGCCCCAGTCTGGGTCATGTGATTGGGGTATAGCAGTATTCAGGTCAGGGTGTTCCATTCTCCTGGTCATAGTGATTGGGTAAGGGACAGGCAAGGGAGCTAGTCAGAGCAAGTAAGGCTCAATCCCACAATCTGCTGAACTGTATGAGAATTCCTCCTGTGCTAAGTTGTGGAGAGGACAGCAACAATAATGGCGCCATGAATGGCACAAGCATAACCGACATCTGCTACCTCTCCACCCTTGCCAGCATTTTCAATCTTTGTAAAGCACTCTGTAAAGAGAGCTTGAAGATCTCCCTTCCATCTGGACTGCACAAACCTAAACATACCCCCTTCAAGCAAGTCTAGAGGGTCAGTGTTAAAGGGACTGCTAAAGGTGCTGGAAATGGTCTTGCTAACCCTGGAGGCAGCAGAGTCCAAAGGTAGTGAGTCTTGAAAATACTATTTGAGCCCTTGGATCCAGCTGTGCCTGAAGCCAGACCCAACAAATTTTACAAGCCAACACAGTTTTATTTGTTTCTGTTGGTATTGTTTAAGCCAGTCTGAATAGTGTTTCTGTCAACTACAACCAAATTCTGACTAAAACAGCCTGCTACACTATCCTACCATGAGCCAGGTGCTATCCATATGCCCCTCAAGGAGTCTCTATAAACATCTACCACAATGCAACGGGTCCTTTCAAGACCAAGGTTTAAAAAAGTGAAGTGACTCGTCCAGGGTCTCACAGTTAAGCAGTGGTGAACTCCAGGTGCTCCAGGTGCCAAAACCCCCATCTGGCATCTGTTAATGGCTTGACTGAAGGACAATTGCTCTTATGCCAGCTCCTTTGTGGGTCTGTAAGCTTATTTCTGGGGAAGGGTCCTATTGTGGAGGGAGGGCCCAGGAAAGGAGGAAGTCTCTAGGCCATGCCCCTAAGGCAGAAACATGAGGGCGGGCACTGGGGAAAACTCCAAGCACATTCGCCCTGGCACACCTCCCTGCCTGTGCCTTTGTTAATACCCCTGTGTGTCAGGTAGAAACAGATGAGAATGGGGAATTTGTTTGTTTAAAACATAAGAAAAGCATATCATACAAAATAGTTCTTCCAAAGCATGACACAAACCCTGGGGACCTCCATGGAGAAAGGCTGGGTAGCCTCAGCTCCATCGGTTCTTCCACCCCAGCACTAACAGACGTCTCTTCAGCTGCCTCCTCCTGGTCAGTCTGTCTCCCCAGGGACAGTCCCACTGCTGCCTGCCTCATCCCGCCCCCACTGCTCCCTGTTGGAAGACTGTCTTGCACCTGCTGTCCTTGCAAATACTCCTACTGCCTCAAGGGAAGTGAAATGTGGCCTTCCACCCAAAGAAGTATGACTTTCTACATCTGGGAGCCCCTGCCAAGAAACTGAGCCCTATTCCCACCCACCCTGATTCTTGAGGTAAATAGAGGGGTCAGAAAGACCCTTCCTTCTCAAAGAAGCTTCTAGGCCATGCCACTGAGTCACCTCCACATCTTCTCTTCTAAGGTATGGCTGTCCTTCCTGATCCTGAGTGTTGGACCAGGGTACCTTCTCCACTTGCCTTACCTGCCTTGGCCCCATCCAGCTCATGTAGCACCTGCCAAAGACCCCCCCAGCACTGCCATCAGAGACATGCTGGGCCTCTCAGATGGGACCTCTCAGTAGATGCTAAATCCATGGAGCACCTCTCTGTCTTGAGTTCACCACCCAAGACCCCACATCCTCCCCCACTTCTCTCCCCACATGGGTCCTGCCTCAGGCTCCAGTGCTGGCTCTTTCTCTTCCTCGACTCTGGAAATGGGCCCAGTCAACAGCCCTTCCTTCTCTCCTGGGGCTTCACAAGCCACCCATGTGTCTCTGGGTCCCACAGTGCTGCCTCTGGCCCTGGCCTCACCTCTGAGCTCTTGAGCCCTCTCCACATAAAGCCCACAGTCTTCTAGAACTTCACAGACTACCAGGAGCCTCCTCCATCCCAAACCACCTTTGCCCTCATCCCTCACACTCTGTAGCCAGCACACAGGAGGCACCGGTGAACATCTGTTGAGTGAATAAACGCCTCTGAGGCCACTGACCAGTCCCCTCCAAGTCCCTCCGCTCACCAGCACAACCACATTCTGTCTGTTTCCAGCCACCACCTAAACCCCACCCTCCGTGACTTCAAAAGCTCCCCTGAGCAGTCACCACCTCCCCACCCCTGCCCCAGTCCAGACGGCTGGGCTGCTCCAGACCCACGACCTGTTGGCTCTCTCTCCACCAGGTCAGCAGCTCAGTCGGGCCTCTACCCTGCACCCACTTGCCCTGGTGGCCTCTCTCCCTGCCTTTGCAATCAGGGGTTTCCAACCTCAGCACTGCTGGTGGATAATCCCATATGGTAGGGCTGGCCTGTGCCTTGCATGGCATTCAGCAGCACCTTGGCCTTTAGATGTTACATGCCAATAACACCCGCTCCCTGAGTTGTAATGGCCCCCAAACTCTCCAGACATTGTTGATGTCTCTATGGGGGAGGGGAGCAAAATCACCTCCAGTTGAGAAGCACTGTGCCAGGTCACTGCACCTGTTCTTTCTAGCCCTCCCCCAGGTGCAAACTGGTGCTGGCCAAACCTCAGAGTAGGTTGACCAGTGCAGATACTGGGCACATCACATAGTACCAAGAACATCTGATCCAAACCTTCCAATCTTCTTTCCTTGCTCTCCCAAGATAGCCTTGGGCCACCTGGAGGGAGGGGGAGGAGACCCAGAGCTGAAGGCCCAGCTGCAGCAGGCAGGAGAGTGTTGGTGGCCCAGGACACAGGGGCTGAGGGGTAGAGAGAGTGGCTGAGATTTGTCTGGATTCTCAGAAGGGCCATAGCCAGATGCCAAGGCCCTCTGACCCCAGCCCTGTAAGCAGCTGCCCCGGGCACCTGGCTGGGCAGCGTTGTTCATGATCCTGATGAGTCTCTCAGCCAGGAGGTGGTTATAAGTGGTCTTCTCGGCTGCATTCGGCACTGGGAGCTGGATTCGCTCTAATTTCTCAGGATCTATGCCTAGGACAGAGAAGGAGGAAAGCTGTGAGTGGAGCTGCCTTACTCCGAGAACTCTCATTCTGAAAGGGCCCACAGCGGGGTTTCCTCAGCTTCAGCCTCCTACATTCCACCTTTGTGATTTCCATCATTATGGGTTGCTGCTGATACTATACCTTACCTCAGAGTTCTCGGTAAATTGAACTCATGTAAATGTATTAAAATATACATTTTCTTTCTTTTTTGTTATCTTTTTCATTGAGATAGGGTCTCACTCTGTCATCAAGCCTGAAGTGCAGCAGTGTAATCATAGCTTACTGTAACCTTGAACTCCTAGGCTTAAGTGATCCTCCTGTTTTAGCCTCTCAAGTAGTTGGGACTATGGGTGTGCACCACCATGCTCAGCTAAAATTTTATTTTTTGTGTAGATGGGTCTCACTATGTTGCCCAGGCTCATCTTGGCCTCAAGCAATCCTCCTATCTCAATCTATCAAAGTGATAGGATTACTCATAGGTATGAGTCCTACACCCAGCCTAATACATTTTCTGTCACTACTCATAAATAGGAAGTCAGCACTGATACAATGAAAAATTGACAATAACCATTAAAAAAATCTAAAAGTACCTTTACATTCTAGCCAATGACTGTAGACTGTCTACTCATTGTGGCCCAAGGCCTGATTTTCATTTAAAAGGGAGGATAACAAGTACTTAATAGTGTTGACTGATCCAAGTGGTAACATTCTCCTAGACATGAGCACAGGGAATGGAAAAAAGAGTAATTTTCACCCAGTGTGATCACTAATGTTTTGTGCCAGGTCTGTGTGCCACCTGAAGCCACTCCTACACGAGGAACATTCCACATGTGGGGAAACACAGGTCTAGAGAAAGAGTCCAGACACAAAGGAAGCTACAGTCATCTCCAACAATCATAGCTTCAAGCTCTTAACAACGAACTCAATGAGCTGGGCCTGACTGAGGCCCACTCAACAAACACACTGGGTAGCAGGCTGTGAGCTAGGCAAGGCAGATGCTAATGTGGCCCGAGGGCATGGCATTAGCAGAAAGAGACTAAGCTAAACCTTTATTATGGAAAGGTGCACAAATAATAAAACCAATAAAGGAGATCTATCAAGAGGCAAAGGAATTACTTTTCCTTCAGTGAAAATTCTGCAGTTCCCTGTGTAAAAACTAACAACATTTGATAGATAAAAGATGAGATAGGAGTAGGACAGGTGAGTGGGAAGAGGAAAGAGGAAACGACCTAAGTTGATAACTACGAGCCATGTTATCATTTTTCCTAAAGCAGTACCTAGTTGCTGGGGTAACTGGAGACCTATTAGGGCTGCTACAACAGTCCAGGCCTCGAATAAGAGGTCTTCAAACTGCTTACTTGCTCATCTAGCATGGCTCTTAAAAATACACTTGTAGAAACAAACATTTGCTTGATCCATCCAAGCTCAGAGAAACAAATGGATTGTTTATGCTTGAAGCACATCCTTTCCTGTTATTCTACAATAAGAGGGTAAGGTGGCACTTCTCGGAACTCTTGAAATACGGCCTCTTGAGTACCAGATGATGCTTCATTTAGAACCTTGACAAAACAGTGGAAGATAGCATTGAAGAGCTGAGTGTTTGGATTCTAAGTAACTCCTACACACACGTTGATGTAATAAACCATAACAATATATTTTACTTTATTGAATTCTGTCCAACTTCTAGCGAGAGGCTAAGTCATACCAAAGACATGATGAGTGAGGGACAGCTTGAGAGCTCAAATTTGGTACTATTCTCTCTCATGCCCCACAAATGTGGCTTCATTCAATAATTTGATTGCAGTAAAAATTTAATTTGTAATTTCTGTATCCTATTTTGATGCTAAATGTCTAACTCTGAAGCATTCTGGCTTATAAAATGGCAAAAAGAACATCAACATCAACTGAATCTTTCTAGCATTTTTTTCTCTAAAGATGTCAGTACCATCTCAAAATCTCTCTAGCCTTTAATTCCTGGCCCTCTGCAAACTTCTAGTCAGTGGTTCTGGGGGAAAAAAGGCTCCTCTGCCTCCCAGGCATATCAACCAACTGTCCAGCCTGACCATCCATTGCCCTACATCAGAGGTCAGAGAAGGCTGCAGAAAAAGCCCAGCTGCCAGCTACCTCTGGGACATAGTGGTAGCCAGAGAATCACAGAAAGAGGAAACTAGTGTTGAAATTCCATGGAGAGGTCCATTTTGTTTTTTTCCAATTATTGCCATCTTCTCTACCCCCATGTAGAATTTCTGGAAAATGAGGAAATCTGTGGCAAAATCAGGGAATGGTTCTCCTGACCACCCCCCACTGGCAGATCCATTCTCCAAGGGGAGGGCCCCAGAGAGAATGCAGTGCTTCTATCTGCACCAGATGCTAAGTTCAACCTCTTCCTTTGGTGAGGAAGTTAAGGCCCAAAGACATTAAGCTGCTTCCCCAAGCATAATGTGAACTACCTTCAGATGATTCCAAAGGAGGGTGCAGGTAGGAAGGGTGGCAACCACCCACACAGAGAGCCCCTGGCCTCTCATGCTGACAACAGCTACCACTTCCAAGGTAGGCTTCTCTGTCCTTTGGCTTACTCTCTCCCAGGGAAAGAGTCGTGTGGGAGGAATTTTGTTTTTGGACTTGACCTATTTCAGACTTAGTCCTCACCTGGGAAATGGGAATAATTATAGTAACGACCCTCATCAGGATCATTGTCAGGATTGGATGAGGAAAAGAACACTGTCACAGGTCAATGACTGCTACCTCCTGCCATTACACATGGATGGGAATTCATGGTACAGAAGGCCCAAAGAAGGCATGCTGAGCTGTTGGGGGCCCCTGTCAGGAGAGAGCTGCTCAGGCTGCTGGGTTCTGAGGATGAATTAGGAATTTGCCTTAAGCTGGACAGAGAGTGCCAGGACTTGCCAGGCCAAGGAGGGACTGCAGGTAGTAGAGCAGAGCTGGGTGGAGCTGTGAGGTGGAGGATGGTGAGGAATGGGCAAAGCTCGGTGGGTGATGGACCCCTGGTGGGTGATGCAGTGGAGGGACCCATGAGAGGCATTTAGTGGCAGGGGTGTGACCTGGTTGTGCTATGGCTGACTCTGGGGTGGTTTCTATGCTCTGGCCCTTCCCTAATAGGCCCAGTACTGCCATACATTCTGCGTGAGGTGCATTTCACCAACCACGGACGACAGAGAGCAGAGGAGATTCCACATAACTTATGGCAAAACTGTATCAAAAAAAAAAAAAAAAACAACCAAAAAACCCTTTAACCATCTCCTTATCTGCCTCTGGGCCATGTGCTTTTATCTCCTCTCCCGAGTCTCTTCCTTGCCTCTGTCACTCTGAATCAATCCACACTGACTCTCAGTTTTCAAGGCCTGTGCAGCAATTCGAAGGCTCCTGATATTCCTCTAACTCCAGAAGCCTTAGAAAGTGGCTGATAGCTACTGACTACCAAGTCTTTCTCAAACAGGCCTCATCAGTCACCAAAGTACTCAGTGGAAGTAAGCAAACAACAAAAACGCCAGGTCTCTTTGGGTAAAGTCAGGGTGCCTTTGGGTGGAAGGAAGGGAGGATTCTGCTAAGATCTCCTTCATACAGTAAGCACTGAAGAAATGGTGACCACAAGCCAGGCATGTTACTTATAATGCCTCATCTACTCCGTATGACATTCTATATAGGACATAAAATTATTCCCATTTTGTAGATGAGGAAATGGAGGCTCAAAGAAGACAAGAAGCTTGCCTGAGGTCCCATAGATAGTGGGAAAGCCCAGAACTAAATATGGCCCTCTGAGTCCGGGCCACCTTCCACCCTCCCTGCTGTGCCCCATGACACCTGCTTATTAATTCTTCTCTGTCCCTCCACCTGCCCAAGCTACATGTGTCCCTGTATCTAGTAGTGTTCTTGGCACAAAGACAATAGTCCACAAACGTTTGCTGAATCAAATTTAGTTTTAAAGGAGTTAATTAATTTTGATCAAATTTAACCCACTACAAAAAAGAGAGGATCAGACATATCTCAAAATTAAGGGAAACAGCCACAAATTAGAAGCTACAACATGACAACTGAGCAGAACAGGTCAACTATCACCCTATGTACAAAAGAGACTAGAAAGAAAGAAGCAGAACTGTTAGCAAATGGTTCCTGTGAGGTGGTAAAATCATAGGCAATTGAGAAAAATCATATTCTCATTTTTGTTTTCTATAACAAGCATTACATCTTCGTCACTATTCTTAGGAAGGTATTTTATTTGCAGAAGAGCATTTGATTTGGGCTTCAACCACCTTCCTGAAGCAAAATGATGGCTGACAATTCTGAATGAATAAGGTCAACATCACAGTATATATGAAAGGGACATATATATGAAAGGTAAGATAGCACATGTGTGCAAGGACACATATACACACACACTATAAATTTTAGTCATAGAAAGGCAGGTTTTGCAGCAAACCAAAACAGCTTTTCTTTGCTAGTCATTTCCCTCTTTTTGAAACAAACACTGTAGATAATATATTATTTTATTTACTTCAACCATTAAGTACCCAGTGACAGACAAATTCCAAAGAAACCCTGGATGTGCCTCCCCCAGGAATACTAGCTCACTGACTTCCCACAGACCAAGTAAGTGTTTCTTGCCTTCTCCCTCAGACCTGCCTTAGGGGCCAAAGCCTGCTTGCCCAAATGAGTCAGAAAGGGTATCCCCTTCTCTACAGAACTGGGGGGTGGAGCTCTCAACTAACTCATTCAAAGAATCCAAACCAGAAGGGAAGGGCGCAGCTCTGCAATATAAGCTTCCTGCTCAGTTGTGATTTCTGGATTCTTTCCCCTTAAGTGGTGGCCCCCCATTCAAGGCAGGAGTGACAAAGATCCAGACCAAAGCTGCCCTGAATCAACTTAGAGAGACAAACCTGGACACAGAGACCATGAGAATATCAGGTAAATAATGTTTAAACTTTTAACATTTCTTTTGACCACGCATGGTCTCTTTGGCAAGTCATGGCA